CGGAAAAAACAAGAACAAATATTCATGGCGTTGCGTACGCTGCGAAAACGGTTGATGATACCCAATAAATATGTATAAAAGAAAGATTCGTCTTCAAATGATCTAAAAAAATTAAGATTCACCTGCAAGAACGGGACGGGACGCGACCGACGTCGTGAATAAAAACTTAAATTTATAAAGATGAAGTGGAGGTTTGCAAAAACGAATTTGGACGCCCAAAATGTTGTTTATAAATAAAGTCATATATTTTATTAAACTTAATTACAAACAAAATTCTAGTTTAATGACCGTCTACTGGACCACAGAGTATTTAGATAAAGCAATTAGTGCCTTTAATGTGGTCGCCCTAAGACTCGGCCAAGAACGTTGTACATTCATTAAACGCAACTATCTCTTTCACTCTCAGAGCATCGGAATGGACGGAAATATATTCGGAAAACCTCCACCTAAGAGTTTGTAAGACAATGTAAGGCGATGTAAGCTGAATTCCTCAACAGACCACTGGCAGCCGTTTTGCGAAATCTTGGGGAAATATTTAGACTTATTTCCCAGCTACTATAGACTTATTTGTTGCTAGTTCGTAAGGTATTTAAGAAATATGCATTTTGCATTGATATTATATAAATTATATTACATCTTCAACCATTCTTCGAGCAATACTACCCACAGGCTACACAAGATATAATATTATTTGTATAATATCAACGCATAACGAACTAAAAAGCTTTAATACCGAAAAATGTCAACAGGGCATCTCAATGAAATAGGACTGCCGCACTTCAGTTTTCGTTAAATAAAACGTATTTTCGCTTCTTTTTCTTTAGAATATCTGATTCTAAGCGATACCTAAGTTTAAAGACATTTACAGGAACGGAGACACCAGAAATGTGTTGCCGGCAAATAGTCTCATTGCTTTTAAATAAAACACTTTAAAACGCAATATATTTGTTAAACTTATTTGAAAATGATTTTTAACTTCGGCCCGACGTTTCGGATGCTTTGCAGCAGCCGGCTTTTTATATCGCGTTTTAAACCGTTAAAGTGTTTTATTTAAATCTGTACTATTCGCGTAAAATATACACAGTATTTAGCCTCATTGCTGCAAAAAATAATTTATTTAGAAATGTTTTTTTTAATCCAGACCAACATACCCTATGTTGGTGATCTGGATGATAGGTAACCCTTACCATATAAACTTAATAATAATCTTAACAAGATGTGTTGTTGACCTATTTCGTTCATCGCTAGTCACTCAAAGCTTCCAGTACCCTAACATATCGAATACAAGCACCGTTTAACAAACTACCCACCTCAAAGCCAACGATAATTATAGGTATGGATAATTTATTAGATCAATATTGCTCAAGGTCTGCGGACTATAATGGTTATCGGGTCGTTTAATTACTATCCCGATCGAGACAATGGTTAATAAGAAGCGATGCCTCAGCACTAAACGCTGATTTATAGTCGTACATTGGCAAGTTTCTTGAGATTACATGAATTAGTAGCAAACAGGTTTTAATGCACGAAAGGAAATTAAGGGGGGATCTCAGAGACGATATAAGCACTCGTAATTGGTTTAACTGTTGATGACTTCGTTGAAGTTTAAAACGCGACTTATATTGTGTGTGAAAGCCCGTTACCCCCTCGTGGGGCATGGGGCAGTCTCATTTCTGTGTCTGTTTGACCGTTCTTTTAACGGGCAAGTAGTTGATCAGATTTCTATCCCGACCGAAACAATTTTGTTTCCCTGGGCTTCGAACCCAGGAACTCACGCGCTTAAAGCAATGCGTTTGCGCGTTTAACCATTTGGCTACAGAGACATATACTAGTTAAACTTATTAAATTTATTTTTACTACGGCCTGACGTTTCGGATGCTTTGCAGCAGTCTCTCCGTGACCGCAAGTGCTAACAAATAATAAATAATTAAAACGTTCATTATATATAAATTAATAAGGCTTTCATAGCCATTTCCCAAAGAAATATAGAAAACCCAAGAAGCTAGTTAAACATTATGTTCTACTACAAACAAAACTACTCGACATCCAAAATCTTGTTCCCATTTGAATAACATAAATTGGGTTCAAGTCCGACGTCGGTCTCGTAACGTCTTAGCGGAACTAATCAATTATTTAGAAGGCTTTCATCTACATTTCAAGGAATAGATTTTTAATAACAGACCTTATATTAAATACTGTCTATAGACCGAAACGTCGGGCCGGCGGTTTAAAACGCGATATATTAATTAAACTTATTTGGAAATGATTTTTAACTTCGGCCCGACGTTTCGGATGCTTTGCAGCAGCCGTGGTCACAGACGTCGGGCTGAAGGTAAAAATCATTTCCAAATAAGTTTAACTAATATATCGCGTTTTAAACCGTTAAAGTGTTTTCTTTAAATCTGCACTACTCGCGTAAACTATAGACAGTATGTATTGAACAGTCTACTACGGTCACTAATTTGTTATGAAGCTCTGGCATAACTTGTTACTGTGAATAAATTTCAATCAATTAGGATGCTCTATTCCGCCATAATACCGTCCGGTCTCTTTGAATATTCAATAGAGATCTTTGGCGTGATCCATGAATTCTTGGTCCCCTGTTCTAGTTCTTGGATCAAATAGTGTATTTGCTCATCCAGATAATATATTTAATAGGAGAGGACAAGCCTAGGATTTACTTAGTACGTAAAATACTCCAGCTATATAACATCGTGGCTTTGGATATTCAGAAATACACAACCGAAACGCAATTAAACTTCACGGTTTTTTTACGTGTGGACGGAGGTTGGTACTGTTTGCCCAAATCATCGGTCTTCAGTCTTGGTCGTTCGCGTTTGCAAACCAAACCAAGAACAAGACCGCGTATTTAGCAAGACCAAGACCAAGACTGACCTCTTGAGCAAGAACAAGATAGCCTCAAGACTCTTGCGTCTGCACTAGGATTACTATTTCCTAGTAGTTAAAGTAACAGTTCGGTTTAGTAGTACCTAGGAATCAGAGAGCAAAAAACTTTAAGAATAGAAAAAGACCAGCTTCAACCTAAACAAGCGATAAAAAATATTAAAATCAAACTGAGTGCATTAGTTATGTTTTAACCATCGGGACTTGAATGCGGACAAAAGTTTTGTACTTACTTCTCAAAAAATTTGCGCTTTTCGGAAGTACATGGTTATGATACACCCGGCGGCTTCTTTTGAAATCTAAAACAATCGTTGCCGCCACGCCGAAATCATAACATTTGACAATGATTGCCGCCATAGGGCTAGGTGCAAAATAATTTCGAATTTTTTTAAGCTTTAATTATTGTTAACTAGAAATAGGTTAAGTGATGAGTCAGTCAGCCAGATGGTTACTTTGTATTAATTCTTGGTCAAAAAAATTGATATAAAGTATCATAACCTAATGATAAAGCTGTTGATTTGTGTTGTATTTTATTTTTTATTCAAATAAATGATAAATCGTAAAACAAAACTCATAGTTTACGAGAGTAATACACATTTAAATAAAACACTTTAACGGTTTAAAAGCGATATATTAGTTGAAAATGATTTTTAACTTCGGCCCGACGTTTCGTGTCCACGGCTGCTGCAAAGCATCCGAAACGTCGGGCCGAAGTTAAAAATCATTTTCAAATAAGTTTAACTAATATATCGTTTTAAACCGTTAAAGTGTTTTATTTAAATCGTAAAACACTTTTATTAAATTTCTTATAAGTTGAGGGTTCAATCTTTTTTAGACAGATAAGTTTGTTCTTTAAAATACAGTCAAGTTATTGTAATTAATTTGTTTTTTTACATGTTTTGCAAATGTAAGCTAAATCATAAATTTTATTAAGAAACAGTTACTTCCATGGAAAAGACATAAGGTCAGTTGATTTTTCGAATTTCTTATCAAATCTTCAGTTATTTATTAATCTGCTTGATCTTTATACTATATCTTCAAGCTCAAATGTTCAATCTAATAGTTTTCTAGGATTGAAAGTAAACTTTAATAAATAGTATAGACTAATAGGTATTCAAGCTGCAAGACTTGCAAGACTCTGCCAACACCACCAAGCTGGGAGCGCAAGCCAACCAGACCAGGGTTTGGCCAAACAAGCCAAGTGGCTAAGTCTCGTCTGTTGCCACTATTGGTGACCCAGACGGAAATATAGGAAATATCGATAAACCTACTAACCAATTAATACCCCGATTTCCAGATGACGTCCATGTATTTTGGAAAAATTATAAATTGATTAGAAAAATCTTGGACCCGGTGGGGATCGAACGACCCGTTGATTATTATATATTGCTACCATTACTCCAATGAGCCCATCAGCTTACCTATATGAACACGAATATACTTATAAACTCCGTTTTATATCTGCAATCGTATCTAAGAGCTATTTGCGATAATGAAACGGTGCATCGCCCCTGTAATGAGATAAGAAAACTTGCCCGGCGCTACGTCAGCTGACGGCGATCATTACAAAGTTTACGGTCTGCGTTGTCACATGTTATGCTGTCCTTATATTGTTTTTCCACCGATAAGACGAGAAGATTTGGAGGACGTTTAAATGTCGAGCAATAGAGACTTGGATAATGTGGTATTTCGTACTATAACCTCCTCGGTGACAATAGCCGACCACTAAACACAACACCAGCCCGCTTCGGTTTTTTGAGGGAGTCCCGGGAGACACATTTGGACTACTGTGCCTTCTCCGGAAACAATCTATTGTTCCCGGTGATTTTTTTAAATTCAAATATTACGATGTTCTCAGTGCAACTTGTCTCCGAGTATATACATACATTTTGATTTAGTTATATTTTTAGTCTATAAGAAATGATTATATTAGTTTTACTTATCATAAGGCACGGCTCTATTTAGTTTCCTAAGTAAATAAATACACTTAAACTTAAACGCGATTACACTTGACTACTTCTTTTCCATTTTTGAGTGGTATATGTAAATTAAAATCCAGATTTTTCCAGACTACATGTTTCAGAAATAATATAAATTTACTCTAGTAACGTGTGGGCCCAAGCAGGCCGGAATCCACAAAGCGATACCAGGTCAAAATCTTGATTCGCATTCCGTTCGAATTGCAGATAATACTTTCTTTCAGACGTTACTCTCCTTATTCGAGCACATATAGCCTGTGTGTGTTTGTAATCGAGCCAAGCCGTCAGACACTGCAATGCCTCCCTTTTCGTATAAATTTGGTTATTAACCCTCAAACTTTGATCGTCGGAGTTGACCCCGGCCGAGTTCATCGATCCGCGGCGACTTTCACCCGGATCATAAACTGAGCCACCCACTTTCAAAACTGAAAAAACATTTCCCGGCTCAGTTCAGAACTAAGTCCTAATCACGGGCGAACAAAGTTCCATTAAGTTTTTTCAAGTTCAGTTGAACTCCATCGATGTGGGGATCGTTCACCCCGTAAGGGACACTTGCATATAACTTAACCTGTTCTCGAAGCCGTGGAAACAAAATGTGGAGCAAGGTTGGAGGAGATTACTTTCGTCGCGAACTTTTTGCAGATCGATATCAAGTTACTTCCGCGCCGACGTGCGGGAACCGAGTGGAAATCATCGGAGATCATAGTTTATACGGTACATGTAGCTTGCGAAGGGCTCATTACTCAGACAACCGGTAAAGATCCTTTATTTACTTTACATATCAACGGCGTTGGCTAACGAGCGAGGATACCTGCTCTGCATTCGTATTCACAAAAGGATACCTACCTTCGGCGGGCGTAAAATAGGAGGCGAGCCGAGAAGGAGGCACAAAGGAGAAAATAAAATAAAGACGGCGCCAGCGAACGGATGTAAGGTCCGCGAAAAAAGTACGAGGAAAGCGGGTTTAATGGTGAGGCGCAGGTGAAGTGGGCGGGGCGCGTGGGTGGTTCGCGGGGATTGGTCGACGCCGCCCAGCCGCGAGCACGCCCCCCTCTCGTCGGCCCCCCACCCCGCGGCCACCGGCTATCGCCCGGCGACCACCTACCACCCGACGCCAAGCTATGCCTGTGTCGTGAATTAGTTTGCCAACTTTCTGTCTATGGCGGAGGCTCCGGAGCTGTAAGTATGGACGACCGACTGAATAATCGATAAAGGTGTTTATTGAAAATGGGTAAGGACGAGGCTGTTTATTGCTTCTTTATTATTAATTCACGTCTGAATTGTCGAGGAGCTTCTACGGCGTAAACCTTTCGCATTTTGTTTACAAACCTGTATATAACAATTCAACACTAACGCGAGTTCATAATTTGGTTCGATTCAATTGTATTACCATAAGCCACACTGCTCTGAAGAGTGAGCACTGAAATCCAGTGAAATTGAACCGCGTCCCCTAACAAAACGTCCCTTTGGCAGCCGTTTGACAGACCGCATATCAGTTCCAGAATCGAATCGGAGTGAATCACGGCGCGCACTCGGAAAAGAATAAAAATCGAAACAAAGAAGAAAATAAACAAAATATTGCGTCTATTGTTCGACGTCACAATGCCTCCGCGACACCGAGCAAATAGCGTTTGGAAAAATGTAAAAAAGCGCAGTTAGCGGGTTCCGGGTAAACACGTCAGCGTCGCCTTATTGAGTCGATCTGGCCATTTGTGCGGCCCCTCGCCCTCTAAAAAGAGGCTTCGATTCAATTCCCGATATCCATTTTTGACGTTTCGTGATTAGAACGCAGTTTCGTCGTTAGCGGCGTGTCTCGTTCGTTACGTTTTTTCTCTTTTGCTGTCAAGTGTAAATTCGTGTTGCTAGGATTAGCTCTTGGCTTTGTGAAACTTTTTTAATTGCATACAATAAATTAATGATACGAATAGCGTATTTTATGTATTTCTCTCCCACTTCTACCCTAACAAGGTACCTTTATTATTTTTAATAACATAATAAATAAAACCGTTTAAAAACTAAATAAAACAGGTAATATATTTAAACTACAACCTGATCTTTTTGATGATACTGGTATTCTTTTATTAAATGTCGAGATAGACGTTGTCTTTAGAACAATACAGTTTTTCTTTACAAGTACATGTTACTACCATCGTCTTAGCTCAAAGATTACAAGCTTTACTTTAGTACTGATAAGGCGTTTAGTACAGGATCTAGTTTAAAATGCCAGAGAAACAATATTTTTTTTTCGGTGAGAAAGAGCACAGAAGTTCTTGCTTGCCATGAAGGTAAACCAATTGCGCGAGAGATGTATGTATCAATAAGTTGAAAAAATTCGACGATAACGTGTAGGACTCGGTAGCTTAATTGGTAGAGCAACAGCACGCAACGCTGACGACGCCGGTTTAAGTCCTGCCCGAGTCGAATGTTATTTCAATTAAATTGGATTTTTAAAAGTTACTTTTATTATACAAAATTCTGAGAACTATGGGAACATAGCTTCGTATTTTTTATACAGGAAGAAAAAAAGTTATTGTAGAATGAGTTCCTCATATCCGGAACGTTACCGTGTTTACAAAATCAATAATATCACTAGGCTTATGAATTTCTTCTCCTCTCCAACTAAGCAATCTTACACGCGTGCTAACTACACTAAAATTACTAATAACCATTATGGTACATTAATACATCTCGTGGGCATCTTCGAATTGTCTAAAAGTAATAATAAATATATCATACCGGCCTCCGGGGACAAATAGAAGGCAAATAAAACAAAACGGAGATCCGGGGAGCGAAAGAAAAGCGATTAATATTAACTGAAATTGTTATAGGGGTTTTATTGCGTCAATTTCATATTTTTACTGCCTCTACGAAAGAGTTAGGCCTCGAATTGAATACTCGTAAAAGTTTACTGCGGTGATAGTGACAGTAAAATTATTAGGCATGTTTTATGTTAAATCAGTACGTAAAACGTTTAATGTCAAAATTTGTTTTATCTTAGTGTTTTATATAGCATTCTTAGGAAATGTAAAAACCAGGAGGTAACTTTTCTTCACCTCTAATTAGCCAAAATTAATTAAGTTTAATATTTATCTCTACATACCAGTATTTTGCAGCAGGTTTAATTATCGTTAGGAATTGTTATTTTAAATACTGTCTGTAGTTAATGCGAGTAGTACGCGTTTAAATAAAACACTTTAACGGTTTAAAACGCGATATATTTTAGTTAAACTTTTTTGGAAATTATTTTTAACTACGGCCCGAAGTTTCATTTACTTGGACGTCAGAGACATCCTCTATCTTTATTCTCCTCGTGGCCACGGCTGCTGCAAAGCATCCGAAACGTCGGGTCATAGTTAAAAATAATTTTCAAACAAGTTTAACTAAAATATATCGCATTTTAAACCGTTATAGTGTTTTATTTAAATTGTAACTTTAATAATTGTGTATATCGCCAATATACACAATTATATTAGCTATAATACAGATATTAAATTTATTAATAATAAATAACAAAGGTTTTGTTACCAAGCATAGACAATAAGATTTTTTTTATTACAGTTTTGTCTCTATTAGTTTTTGTAAAGGCGTAAAAACAGCCGAGCCTTGAGTTATCTACATTACTACAGTATTATCTTATGAGTTATAACTCGTTAAATTTGTTTTATTTCAATATCGTCAACATACTTTAATATGCTGTCTATAACACAAATTTAATAAACAAACGTTTTGTATTTTTAACGAAGCATAGACAATATATTTGTTTAAAAATAAAAAAACTTTTTCCCCTTTTCTATAACCGAGAATGACTTCAACTTTAGTATTTCGTTACGTGGACACCTTGTTAATAAATAATGAAAGTAAACAGACTAATTAACAAGGGCCGTGGCAAATCGCTCCCTCAACGAGAATATCACTGGTAATCAGGCTTTTCTTAGATTAAAATATAACCACAACCTTTAATCAACTACTTTGTAGAGTTTGCTTAAAACTAACCTTCAGGATTATATTTTTAAACGCAATACCTAATACATATATTAAATGCTTTCACAAGAGTTTTTTTAATATAAAAATAATAATCTTCTTTTTTTTCATTAAATTAAAAAACGCGAAACAATTAAGTACTTTATTTGTTTGTGTTCCTTTTTCAAACAGCCTAATAAACCTAGGTAGAACTAAACTAGCCATAATGCCAAACGAAATGGTCGTAGTTACTACTTGTTCACGTTTGGTTTACATTTTATTTAGATTTTTTATTAGCTGTAAACTATCTGAAGACCTGTTGACGAACTTTTTTAATTACTGCTCGCGCGCGGAAAATCCTCGCCGGGCTAAATCAAAATGAAGGAGTAATGAGAGCGGTTTCTTAATTCCGTCTAACGACTGTGAAGACGGTCGAATTCTTTAATTATTTAGCTCTAATGGCAGTCGAGTTTGTCCTTTGACGTCGCCCGCTTTAATTTAAGATACCTCCCCCAAATTAAAAATATAATGAGACTCAACTGTGCCACTGTTAATTGGAAACCGATACGATATCTAAGACACGAACACGTAGGTTTTATCTTTGCCGCATATTTTGTTTTGTAGACGATTTTATTTAGATTTTCACGAATAGATAGATATAGATGTAGGTAAATGGTTAAACGTCTTGCCTGGCAATGCGTTAAACGAGAGCGGCGCCGGGGTCGAATCCCGGAGAAGCAAAATATTGTTTAAATTAAGTAGAGCACAGGAATCTAATTAACAAAGTTGTTAATTATTTACACGCACATGTGTAAGTAAAAGTGAACAGTGAAACGGACACATCTACTAGAAGAAAGGGGGGGAATCTGGAAAAGTGGTTGCAAGTTTGTGGACTGTTCTTTTCGTTCTATATGCATGTACGTTTGAACATATATGTTTTTTAAGCCTTCAAGAATTATTACAATATTATTTAGAGATTTTTTATTATGTTTTGTCTTTATTATGTAATGTATGTGCAAGTGTACACACGTAAGATCGACCAACGGAATTTATTAGAAATATTTTTCTTTCAGATGCCATCTAAAAAACTACAGCGTGTTTTAATAAAAGCCGCGCATTTATATTCATGGCTGGTCACATTGTCATGAGGCCGAGCCAAATAAAAAACTGTAATAGATTCCAGAACAAAATCCATCAGTCTGACGTCGTATGACGTTTGACACACGTGTTTGCCTTATACAGTGTGTTCCAAAAAATCAACGGGTTTCTTGCTACTGTAATGTATTACTTTAGAATTAATAAATGGTGGCTTCGATCGTATTAGTTGTAAGAAATAAATAATAAATTAAATAAATTACTTCTTTTAATGTAAATTTTTAAAGTGAAATAAACATGTTCCCTTCAAAATAAACTGTTTTATATTTTGTGTTTATTGCAAGATTACTAAATTTATTTCAATAACTTTTAGACGCTTATTCTTACAAGTACTTAATGTCACACTTCTATACTTGTGGGTTTTTCTGACTTTACGTGTGTTCGGCCCTATATACGGTCTTCACGCATTATAACACATGATGCAAGAAGCCAACAACCTGTATAAGACACATGAGTGCGGGCCACTGCAACATTTTGCCTACCTTCGGGATTCAACATTATGCATAACTGATAAGGGTCGATTCTGTATGCATGCGATCCTTAGTCTCCTTTGTAATAACATTCACGCCCTTGAGAGTTGCCATTTTTACACTGCTATGAAGCTTAAACGTTGAAAATGTGTATATTTATAACTACAAACAATCATGACTCTCTTATAATTTAATAAACGACAGAAGTATTGTTTTTAAACAGACAGACAATTTCAAAATGGAACTAAACTAACCTTAAAGTAGTAAATTAATGTTTAAAGAAACTATTCAAAAACACCCCAAAGATACAGTCTACCTTATTTTAGTTGTTAACTTCAACTTACTGTTTAATTTTAGTTTTGATAGAAACAAGGAATCTCTGTCTGTTACTGATATACTATTAAATATTTTAATTAATTGCTTAGGCTGAGAGAATATTAAGGAATATTTTTTTAATATACCAGACAACTTGTTGTTCAATTAAATAAAACAGTAACGGTTTAAAACCCGATATATTAGTTAAACTTATTTGAAAATGAATGAATTCTAACTTCGGCCCGACGTTTCGGATGCTTTGCAAGAGCCGAAATTAAAAATTGTTTTCAAATAAGTTCAACTAATATATTGCGTTTTAAACCGTTAAAGTGTTTTATTTAAATGTGTGCTACTCGCGTAAACTATAGACAATACTTAACTTGTTGTACAGTTGTAAATGAAAACGAAGATAAATC